GGTTTTACACTTGAAATGCAATAATTAATCGTTTGCTAGTTATTCGTTTGAGGTATTTGAAATGGGAAAATAAAACGTGTTGTTAGATAATAGAAAAATAAATCTCATCCAATATACATATATGTGTGTATATAAATGTACAGTATGTATGTATTTGTACGTATACACACACACACAACTTACATATATAGATTTATATGCATGTTTATATATATATATATATATATATATATATACATATATATATATATACCCATCCACACCTATGTATATATACACATGCATGTATTAAGAATATCTAAATTTATGTATGTATTTATGCATATGTATATGTATATATTTTCATATACATGTACATATACATATGTACACACACACATACACACACGTTTATATTGTATAATATATGTATATATATGCAAACACGCGCGTACGCACATATGTTTATGCATATATTAATGAATCTATATATGTGTATATATATACGCTCTCTCTATATATACATATATTCACACACACACGCAATATATATGTATATATATTCGTATGAATGTAAATATGCATATATATGTATACTGTATTATATATGTATATATGCATATAATATATGTATAAATTTCTCTCTCTCTCTCTTTATATATATATATATATATATATATATATATATAATATATTATAGATATATAGATATCTATATATATGTATATATATATATAGTATATATAGATATATAGATATAGATATAATAGATATTATTTCTATATATATGTGTGTATGTATATATATATATATTATATATAATATAAATATATATATATATATATATATATATATATATATATATATATATATATATATTATATATATAAAGAGCGAAAGAAAATGGGTGCATGATTCTTATCATTTATTCATTTTTCGGACAATAACTAAACGATCTGGAAACAAAAAGAGGGAACGAGAAGAAAGAGGAGGATAAAAGAGAAGAGAAGACGAAAAATGTCAACGACAAAGAAGTAACAGAAAGAAAGAAAGAAAGAAAGAAAGAAAGAAAAAAAAAAAAAAGAAGTTGAGGGAAAAACAGAGGGATTTCCCCGCGTGTATGGGCGAGGCAGGGAGCCTCATACAGCGCTCCCATTGGGTATATAAGGAGCTGCGGAGGAAGGGGCCGCCATACTGCACTCGTTCTGCAACGCTTCAACACCCGCTCGTCACACCATGAAGCTGGTGAGTCGGTTTTATCTTTTGTTTGCTTTCTCCGAATGTAAAGTAAATGCGTATGGGGTGTATATATGTATATATATATATGTGGCTATATGCGTGTGTGGCTGTGTGTGTGTGTTTGTGCGACTGGATCCATATATCTCCATATAAAATATCAAAACGCATTTCCTTTTCTCTATGCAACATTCTTCCTTTACAGATTTCGCTGTTGATGGCCCTGGTGGTGGCCCTCTCTGGCCTCCTGGGTTCAGCTCGTGCTATGCCTGACCCCTCCCCTGTGGCTGACCCCGTGGCTGACCCTGACCCGTAGCTGACCCGTGGCACTTCAAACGCAAGCACTACTATCCCCGCCGGCATTACTACCCCCGTCGCCACCACTACCATCACTGGTGAAGATGAATGAACGTTTTCCTTCGAAAAATAAACGTTTATTCCGACATGAAATTGAAATGTTAACATATGATCTCTCTGTCATCTTGATGTGAAATAAAATCTTAATAGATATATGTTCTGTCTTCTGACTTATGAGAATTTTAGGAGTTTACATATTTGATAATTAGATTGTAAATGTATATCCATGCATCCGTGCATACACACACATATACACAATACATACACACATATACACATAATACAGACACACATATATATGTATATATATAATATATATATATATATATATATATATATATATATATATATATATACAAGTTTATATATGTGTGCACATAAACACACACACATATATACATATAAATATGTATATGTGCATATACATGTGTGGGTGGTTGCATGTATCTATGTGTGTATATATGTACACATATATATGTATATATATTATATATATATATTATATTATATAATATATATATATATATATATATATATATATATATATATATATATATGCATATATATGTATATAGACTCACACGCACATATATATATATATATATATATAATGTATATATACATTATATACGTTATGTTTATATGTGATATATATTCATCTCTCTATCTATAAAACATACATACTTACATATATGGATGTATATAAATGTATACATACACACGTATATATGCATATATTTAAGATATCCCACCACGCACACACGTATATATAAATGTATATATATGGCACACACATGTATGTGATATATATGTATATATATGTACATATGCACACATACACACATGTGTACACTCACACACACATACAAATGTATATATGTATGAATACACACAACATATATATGGATGTACATACATACACACACATATATATGGATGTATACACACATACACATATATATGGATGTATACACACATACATACATATATATGGATGTATACACACATACAAACACATACGGTATAACAACTATATATATATGCATAAATACACATTTATACTGTAAATAATCACACATATATATGTAATATATATGTGTAATATATATTTATATATATTTTAAGGGGGGAAGCAAAACACTCGCACCCGAATAGGAGTATTGTGATCATATAATTGTAAATATGCATACATGCATGTGTAAATGCACACACACATACACATATGTATGTGCACGCATATGCACATGTACACACACATACCAATATGAATATACATACGAAACACACCTACACACACACAGATAGATGCATGGAGGTTTACCGATCTATGATGATTTAATATCAGTGAAAAATACACACTTGGTATAACTAAATCACATTTTTTTTAAGAAATAATGTATTACACTGATCTTGATGTTCGAAACGTATTTATCATCGTATAGATTCATGTATTGGGAAAGATAAACCATATATATAATATACATCAAGATTTTATTACACGGCAGTACTAGGGAGACAGAAATTGTATGTTATGTAAATTCACTGTGATATTTGCTCTTCGAATAAACGTTTTTAAGGTAGAAAAACGTTTCCTCATGTTCACCAGTGATGGTAGTGGTGGTAGCGAGGGGTAGTAATACCGGCGGGGATAGTAGTGCTTGCGTTTGAAGAACCAGGGGTCAGCTACGGGGTCAGGGTCAGCCACGGGGTCAGCTACTGGGTAAGGTTCAGGCATGGCACGAGCTGAACCCAAGAGGCCAGAGAGGGCCACCACCCAGGGCCATCAACAGCGAAATCAAAGTTAAATGATTTGAATAGCGATCTAGCAGATACGTTTTAGTCGTCATGTAAATAGTTTAAATAACATCCTCACATAACTTCTACACACACACACACACACACACACACACACAACACACAATTCCTCCACTTACCAACTTCATTCTGATACAATGGAGACTGTGTCGTGTCACAGAGGAGGGACAGTGTGCCCTTTCCCGTTTCTGGGCCGCCTTATATACCCTGCCGATCGTAGGGGAAGAAGGGGGAAGGGGTGGGGTGCGGGAGGGGCAGGAATTCCCCCTTCCTCCTGTAGAACCGGGAACTACATCTCCCTCGGCCACAGAACATGGATGAAGGAAGAACACTCTTTCCTCGTACCTTAGAATGCTATGGATCTATGCGTTAATGTTGAGGGTTTATCAGATAATGATAAATGATCTAGATTAATAGTATTATCGCAAGGGAAGGAGGAAGAGAGGGAGAGAGAGAAAAGTGAGAGAAAGTGAGACAGAGAGAGAAAGAGAGAAAGAGAAAGAAAAGAGCATTAAGAATAAAGAATATACCAATACCAGAGCTGAATTTTATAGTTCTGACAAAAAATTCTGAGATGTAAGAATGATCTTAAATGGATAGACATAATTTCGTATAAAAATTAACACCTAACATAGCTAATTTAAAACATGCACGGGCGAA